TCATTCTTTGCATGTACCTCTGGCACATGTGCAGACAGCTCCAGGGCCCACAGCTCTTCTAAAGCTGATTCCACACTTCTGCCCTGGGAAGGAAGAGCTGAATTTTCCCTGAATGGTCCCTGCTGATCCAGCTCTTTAGGTATTTGCCCCTTCCCTTGACCATTTAAAGCATTTGAAATTGGTACACTTGAGATTTTGGGATCAGCTCTCTGCTCCTTCTTCTCAGTCCCTTGTGCCTCCACATTAGTAGAGCTACATAGAAGCTCCACACTGGAAGCCTGAGAAGCATTTCTAGAAGAGTCAGGCTTTCTGCTCAGCCGAACCAAGTTTGCAGAGGTCACCTGCTGCCCACGAGTAGCATAACCAGAAGAGACCCTTGGTGGGGGCACAGGGGCCGTTTGTGGCAAACAGGGCATGCGTGGAGGAGCAGCAGAATGCCCTGAAGCAGGCAGAACTACAGTGTTACTGCCTTCCTCAATGCAGAGGACTGCGGAGGGGGCAGATGTTGGCACTGTCGAGTCCCCACTGTGACTTGCAGAAGGGTGTTTGGAATGGGATAGCACTGTTAAACTGTGAGGACTGTTGCTGGAGTCTGCATTTGCTGAACTGGGAACCGGTTCTAGGGAGGGTTCAGAAACCAGAGACATAGTGGAACTAGTCTGCAAAAAGGAGACAGAAGGAATAAGGAGAGAAAAAGATAAAGACAGAGGTAAGGAGAAGAGAAAAAGCAAAGAATTAAGCATTATAGCAATCACGACCTCCAAATCAAAGAGCCGTGTTGATCCAAAGCCTTACTTCTAAGAGTAAGGAAGGAAAATGGGATATCAAAGAGCAGAACCAGTATGACATCATGCTGATCTTCACAGGAGATTATGGGAGATGAAGTTCTACAGCCATCGAGATCCTTCTCCTATGCCCTCTAAGTGACAGCTCGTGTGTTCACCTGCAGCTGTGACGGGGGCATGCAGCGGCAGCTGGGAAGCCAGCTACAAACCCAGGAATGTCTAGACTGTGAGTAAAGGTCACGTTAACAACTTACTCATAGTCAGATGTGTAAATTTTACACTTCAAAGCTGAAAAAAAAGCAATCAATGAATAGAACAAAGCATGACATTTTCTTCTTGATACACTAATAAAATGCTCCAGTTGGCTGAGTTCATGGCAATGAAAACAAAGCTTCAGGGCATTCACAGCAAGAACAGATGACATGGGCTTTGTTCTGTTCACATCACTAATCTCACCTTGGACGTGACATACTGAATCTATATGAGTCTGTCAGTCACTCCATGCCCTTGTAAGCATTGCTTAGGTGGCTAGATTAGCCTCTTCCCCTTAGGCCAAAGACTCCACATTTACATTGTAATAAATTCAGCATTAATTTTCATCCAAAACACGCTCTAACAAGAGCAACCAATACAGAGTTTTTGGTTCTCCTTGACTTACAGGGTCTTTTGAAAACAAAAGATCATGAGTCCTCCTTTCCCCATTTTCAGTGGTTCCTGGCTAAACTCTAGGAGACAAACTGGCATTACTCCTTTTTCTTAAAAAGGGAAAATCAGAACAGTGGATTGGACAAGTTCACACAGCAGGTCAACCTAAGACCAATGCTGAGCCCTTTCAGTTTTAAAAACATATCCACAAAGGATTTCCAAACTCAAGAGCTATAAAGGCCTGCCCTGATTCTTAGTCACATTTTCCAAAGCAGCCTCAAGAAGTTAGATGCTTATGCTCTAAGGTAGCAGGGCACGCAACTTCCTAAGCCCACGTCTCTACTTACCTTTCTGAGATACTTATCATGGATAAAAGGACAAAATTAACCAGAACATGCACAAAATCTGTCAGTAGATGGAAAAGACATGTATCTACAGCTGACCTAAGCTGCTACCATCTCCAACAGTTGTCTACAGGGAGACCGTGCTCAGAAAGGAAAGAGCAATGGGGGACCACAAATCATTACAGATTGCTCCTCCCCTCGAATAGCACAGCAAGACCAACAGTCACAGCAGAGACGAAAAGGACTAATAAGTACATTCAGCAGTCAAAATGAGGGAATTTCCCAATATTGCCCTTCCCCTGTATTTTGCCTAAGCTGGATGCACCTGTAAAAGTAACCTGGTTTTATGCTGTGGTTCACACTTAGTTACCAGGCTTCCTAAAATTAAGTCAGTCATTTTCAAGGCAAGACTAACATTTTGCCCAAAAGCAAGTATTTCCAGCATATTAAAAACATACTAGCTCCAAAATAAGAGCAATGGTTAAACACTCGACAGTAACAGAACAGTTAAATACAAGCATCTAGCTATGCAGTAAGCAGGCATCATATTACACAGAAATGGCAGAGATTGAAAAAACAAGTGCATTAAGTAATCTCAGTGCGCGCTAACTGATGAGCTAGATAACCAAAATCAAATGGATTCTGTAAGCAAAAAGAATGAGCAACTCATTAAAGCGAGCAAAAGATGATAAAAGGGTAATGTATCAGTCTGTAATAGCACCTTTTACTCTGGGGTACGAGGGAAATTAAACATCAGCGCCTCCGCTCCTCCCATCCCCATCTACTGCAACTTCTAGTTGTACCAACTACCAACTCCAACTAACTACACATCATACTTAGTTTTTCTGTTCTATTTCTTGCAACCACACACAGATCTGGCACTTGAACGGTAGCCTTTCATCTTTCACCTTTGCAAAGACTCTACTTCTCTCCCTTACATCTTGCTCTGGTACAGAGTAGAAATACATTTTTACAGACAAGCTAACACCACTCGTTGGCACAAATAGAGGAGGTAAAAACAAACAAAAAGGACTGAAGGGAAAATGAAGCAACCCGGAGGACAGGAAAAAGGAAAGTAACTTAAAAACAGTCAATGACAATATTAACAAAAGGAGAATGACCGCAGAAGCCATGTTCTTTGTGCTTCAGGAAGAATATTTAAACACAGATGAGCTCAATGCCTCGCAAAAATACGAACGCTGTGTTTATAAAGCCCAAATCTTAAAATCTTGCTGCATTTCAGTTTGCTCTCAGAGCTCAACCAGAAACTAAGTCAGGAAGGTGGGCAGTGTTACAGAAAGCAGCTAGTCTCTGTCATGCAGGTTTTACTGGAGTTGCACAAAGATTCTAAGGCCTTTTCACAGGACTGCAAAGCACTTGAACACCCACACTTAAAAATGGCCCCTCCTTGTATCTTGCAAGGAAAACCTGTGCTGGGCAAGGTCATTCTCAGTTGCCAAGATCTCACCTAGGAGTAAAGGCTAGTGGCAGCAACCACACCCCGAGCTCGTTTGCTGAGCCCTGATAAAAGCAGCAGGGGCACGACGCCATAGCACTCAAGCTCCCACAGCACACGGAAGGAGCAAGGCAGGGAATGCCAGCAGCACAGGTGGGAACTCTCTCCAGCTTCACAACACTGCAGTTTTTCAACTAGACTGAACAGATGCTTGTGGATATCCTGCACTCTACCCTAGGACCTAATACGGAGAAAAAAAGGCAACACTAAGGTGTCAATATTTGCAATTGACTAAATACACACTACAGTAAGTCTAGAGAAAACAGTGAGTAACTCCTAGATTCTCACAAAATGAAGTACATATGCCAGAAATGGCAGACTGAATTCAACTCCATCAAGTGCAAGGCAAGCGAAGTCCCACAGAGCGTGCATGCTCACTGCTGGGTTCTGAACTCGCACACTTGGTCAAAACTCCGGGTATTGTAATGACCTCCACGAAACCCACAGCACACATCAAAAGCACTCACACGAATGGTGGCGCAGAGAGAACAACAAAGAGCAAAGCCGTCGCTGGAGGTCCTGTCTATCTCTCCTCACAAAAAATTTGTCAGGTCTGGCTGCCCCACCTGAAGTCATGGTAGGAGGAGATGGAGTTCAGCACAGACAAGAAACACCAAGCATCAGCAGAATCTTTCATATGAGGAAAAACCAGAGAGTTAGGGACTTCCTTAGGATTAGAAAGCAGACTTGCATGTGTATGTAAGAAAGACAAACCCAACAATGACAACAAAGAGAATATATTAGGTATTTGCTTTCTCCACCTCTCTCAGAACAAATTCAAGTGAATAATTCAGTAAGGCTATAAGCAAAGCAGCTGAAAGTAGAAAGTAAGAAGAGAAAATATTTTTCATTTTGCTACAATTATGGGTAAATGAAGTCTCATGAAAATAAGCTTCATAGTTAATCATCTAGTGCAAGAATGATAACATACTTATATGAATAAAGAACAAATTATTGAAGTACATATGCCAAGAGCGTCACGTATCAAGACGACCATGGGCAAGTTACTCCTGAGCTTACCCTATTATGGAATTTTTATGTGCTACTTATGACTGAAGTAGCAGTTCTTTTCCAATGCAATAGTTGGATTTCCAAACCAGATTCTGAATAGTATTTGCCATCTCTGCCCCCACAAGAAGCTCAAACTTTAATCCCATATTGAGGTGAATAAGAGAGATTGTTTTAAGACGGAAACCCTTGAGGTCTCCAGCTGTCTGATGCAAAGGCTTCAGTGCTCATACCACATGCCTGGAAGACTCTTCTCAGGGAAAGCACATCAGGGTAAAAATACACTCCAAAGACGAGGGTCATACCCTCTCATCACAGAGAAACAGAAGAGCCTGGTCTCTGTCAGTAAGCAGACTGCTCCCCTACCTCTTGTTAAGCTGCAGCACAGCAAAATAATTCACCCTGTACTGAGCAGTAACTAAGCTCATTATCTTTGGCAAACAGACAAACTGCAGAACCAAAGGAAAAACAGACCCCAGAACTGCCTTACCCTGCCAGTGACGAGAATTTATAGTAGTCGAGAACACCTACAGTAGCACTCAGAAACTGCGAACACCACCACAGGAAGTTTTTCAGAGCAAGTTTGAGAGGTAAAGAGGGCATTCTGGAGACCAATCAAGGTCAGCAGATGTGGCTAACAGGCAAGAGAGTCTGGGATTGGGGAGGGACAAGATGAAGTATTAAGTTGTCATGATAGGGCACCTTAAAGTCAGAGAGAGATGCCATCAGCTCATCCAGTTCTCGTGTAGCTGAAGAAGCAGATATACGGGTCTGCTGCTGACTGGCTGTGACCCGCTGGGGGCTGCTCACTTCACCTTGGCTCACAGTGATTGCAGGGCTGACAAGAACAAAACAAAACAAAAACAAAAACAAAAAAAAAAAAAAGGGAGCATGTTTAAGCTTGGGAGAGAACTCTTATACTGAAATCCCACTGCCCCTCCAAACAAGCACAGCACGGCGAGTTTCACCAGCAATGCCCACCCTGACCAGCCCTCCCCCAGACCCAGCTTCCACAACACACACAGACGCTGTCTCTCTGCCAAGCCTAACACGAGCGTACACACACACGCACCAGCCATTAAGGAATGGACGATGACCAAACACTCATTTTTCATCCAGGAGCAGAAAAAAGATCACCAGCATCTTCATGCGCCTGCTTGATTTCTGACCCTTTAGACAAAGCCCACCTTCTGCCTGTCACTCTCCTGCAGCATCTGCCCCTACACTACAGTCACTATTCCCACAAAAGCCTGTTCCACCCCACCCAAGCCAGCAACCACCAAAACACTACTCACACTGGACTTGGCACAGAACTCTCTAGCTCATCCAGCAGGCTCTCCACACTGGGACGCACATCTTCGATCCCACGTGCACCATTTCGCTTTGGCTTTTCTTTTGTAGGGGGTGCAGCCTTCCCTCCCACAGAGCTGCTGCTCTCTGGGACGACATAGTGAGGTCCAGTCACACTGGGCAGTGATGGGCTTCTGCTGGCTTCATCTTAAGAAAGGGGAGCAGAAAAGAGTCATTCAGACCCCTAAGTCCATACAAACACGCTAATCACAGGCAAGAGCAACAAATTGCCCAGAAATCTTGCGGAACATCCATCTTTGAGGATATTCAGAACTTAAAGTGCAAGGGCCTGAGCAACCTCATCTAACTTTGAAACTTTAATTAGAGCCAGTTTTGAAGTTGGCCCTGCTTTGAGCAGGGTGCTGCACCACAGACCTCAAGAGATCCCAATCATACTAAATGAATCTTTGATCAGGAGCTGCAGGGGTCTCCCTCAATAAGGATGTTGGAAGGAAAAAGTAGGCTACTACTTTGAGAATCAGACTATCCACTCATACCAAATGTCTTGCTATTCCTTACCTGCCGGGAAGCCACTGGCGGGATTGTGTTGAACAGCATTCAGTTCCAGAAGAAGTCTGTCCAGTTCTGAGAGGTTGCTGCCCAGAGAGGAGCTGGTCATTGTGGGAGATGGTTCTGCAGACTTCTGCTTGTTCGGGAAGCTAAAGTTAAAAGTGAAGTGTGAAACTCCCACGTCAAGATACAGCAGAAGGATGGAGGGAAACTTACATTAGGTTCAGAAAGTTTACACATGTACTGTATTCTTTTCAAGCCGGTGCTTTTAGCTCTGGGGGAAAGAAGATGCGTGCTTTGTGAAATGACTACAATGCAGGTGCTGCTCAGCCACATCTTCAGCTGTCAGTTACAAAGAAATAGCACTGATGGACAGGGCCTCAGGTTTTAGGACTGTGTGCTGTATGGCCCTGCAGCAAAGAGTTAACCGTCTGCAGATCCAAGATGCACACAACAGCAGCAGAACCATTAGCTGGCGTACAGGAAAATGACTTTTTTCTGCTGACATCACACCAAGCAGCAAAAACCTCCCCCCTGAAGCAAGGGAATGCAGGGCCAGCGCAGACCGGAGAAAGAGGCAAAGTACAAACCTCAAGCTATCAACAAAAAGTCAAAAGCAGGAGGTTATGTGGTAGCCTCTTGCAGCACTCAAGGTCTCTTTTCAAGTCCTCAAACCTTTAATTTGGGGAACTCTATAAGAAAGTATTTTGAAACTATTTTCTATTGTGTTAAATACACAAGCCTTGAAAGAAGTTTACCTGTGCACAGCGTGTATAAAACACTGGCTGGAATTATTCGTTATCTTATATGGGTGATCCCATTTACCACACACAACTGCAAATTGTTTCAAAGCAAAACTCAGCAGCGATGCGGTGATTTTTATAGTAATTACACTGGAATAAGAGTCTTCCCATCATCAATGGCAGTGAAATTATTTTCTCCTAGTTTTACAAATGGAGAAATAACTTCTAATGCTGCAGAGGTTCTTATTTTATCAAAACGATACTTTCCAAATCCAAAATGGGAACTTCTGTCTTGCGCACACTACTATATTATGCTCAGAAAGTTAATATGTAACAGGCTTTAGGACTCTGACACCTATAACACCAGTGACAATTATGAATTATGAAATTCCATAAGGGCAGTTATTATCTTTCTCTTCAGACTGAAAAAAAAAATCCACATACGGAATCTGAGGAAGGCATGCTTCTTCCCGACCCAAGCACACAAGCTACAAGTCACACCAGAACCAAGCCATGCCAGACCCTTGTACAGGAGGACTTAATTTTGTATTAATTGCATGCAGCCATCTGAAAAAATTGCAATTACTGCCTCCATTGGGCCATCTCTGGATATGCCTGCCTCTACCCAGAATTAGTTCTGGTTGAAAGCACCTTCCTGCTCAGCAGAAAGAGCTAGGCATGGTCAGAACACGACACCAGAGAAACACCCGTCTCCACACTGTAAGAAGGTTCCCAGGGTTCCCAGGACAGAGCACACTGTACAGGGACATCAGGGATGAAGTTCTGACTGCCTCTTCCTCACTCATCCCCACGTCAGCAGAATGGTCTGTCCTACCATACAGGCTACTCCTCCAACCTCTCAGTGTAAGAGCAGCTGCCTTTGCGAGTATAAACTAGTTATCTATCTATCATGTACTGAGATGAAAATTTTAAGTTCTAGTTTACTTGAAAATTCAAGTCAATGCACATCCTGCTAGGCCACAGGTAACTGAGTTTCCCAGGATAACTGATCCAAAGGCCACCCACCTCCTAAAGAACTTTTGGGCTGCTTAACAGGGGTATGGATTTGTCACTTGGCTCTGGATCGTATCCTTCACAACACAATCCAGATCCTGTTCTATCTTAACTTCTTCTGCAGCTGAGCAAACCAAAGGGCCAGGTCAACGTTTGAACCAAGTATGAAAGTTACAGTGGCCTCTTACAAAAGAGGTAATCAAAACCAACACAACATACACGGGGAGCTGTGTTTGCTTCCACTTATAGAAGGCAGCTTGAGCCACAGCAGGCTCAAGTTGCAAGTCAGGTTTATCTCTTAACAAGGACAAGATACCTGTAGACGTGTTCCTCTTCACTGGCACGGGGAGAAGGAGAGCTGAGCCCGTCTCTAGGAACAGAGGCACTGGAGCTCTTGGCACTAGAGCTGTATATAGGAGACTGGGACTGAGGCTGTGGAAATGAGATTTGCATTGGAAACAGAGAATACAAAACAAGTATGTACACTACTGCACTGCAACCCCACACATGGATAGGACAGAACAAAGCCCAGCAGAAGACAAAAAAAATCTGCTATATAGCCAACCAGCCTCTATCAGATGAGCTACACCAGGAACAACTGTTCTCCACTTGCTTCAGATTTGCCTATGAGTCGCAGATCTGTGCTGGAAACCCCCAGTCTGCTTTCCACAGGCTACAAGAGAGATGACTAACACTAATCTCATCACACTACTATTTTGTCGGAACAGTGACGATGGGTTTCAAATTCTTTTCTGCCATTTGCTCCAACCAGTTAGTTCTATTAAAACCCCGCACCTCCCCCCATTTCCCCACTCTGTTCATAGCCAAACTCATCCTCACTTCTTGCTCTTCCCTCCCCTTGTCTACTTCCTTGAGAGATACTGCACCAACAAAACAAGCATGCACCCTTCCCCATCCGCACACATTCACTTACTTGCTGGTGGACGTATCTGGAGACGTTGGGTTGCCACTGATCTAAGGGGTCAATCACAGTGCCATTCAGGGCCTCATTGGAAGGTGGCGGGGGCACCGGAGGTGGCACAGCAATCTCTTGGTACGTGTGGTTTCCAGTTGGATAGGAGTAAGGTGTTTCCTCTGTTAGAAACACTGGTCGTTTGGAGATATGTGAGGTGGTGGATTCCAGGTCTGCCAATAAGGCGTCTATGGGAAAGGGGAAAAGAAAAAAGAAAAAAAAAAAAAAAAAAGGTAAAATCCTGGACTACAGCTTCTTCTCTTTCTTCTCATTCAGGATATCCGTATTAGAAGGTCTTTGGGAAGACTTTTAATCTAGGGTGACCTACTAAATGCCCTGAAAAACATCACTGCAGCCCAGGACTGAATGGGTTAATCAAACTTCTAGCACAAAGAAAATGCCAAGAGGTAACAAAGCAGCCAGAAAAACTGTGTCAGTCTCAGATTTTTGTCTTAACTGGAAAACCACCCAACAACAGGCACCCGTAGTCTCACTGCACCCTGCAGAACAGCAACCTAGGAGAAACCTGCCCAGAGATCGACTCGCAACAGGATATTGACACAGACTAATTACAGGGCCCACATCATCACAGAGTCATTTACTGTGGCCGCAGGCACTGCTTTCTGCAGGAAACAAGATCTCGGGAGAAGTTTTCTCCAGAGTCTAAGGTAGTGGAAGAAGCATGAAACTTTCAAATTAGTCCATCAGTGCAGCAGGAGTATGTGCTTCAGTTTTCCTAGCAAAAATCCCTCTCAGTACATCACACAAACAGTTAACTAGTTTCCAGAGGCTGCCAGGTAAACGCCATTTCTTCTCCTGGAAACAATTCTCAACTTGCTGGGTGGAGACTGCTCACAAATTCCTGAAGAGAAGAAAAACTTCCACCAGCTAGAAACACCAGCACTCATGCCAGGCAGAGTAACCCATGTCACACGGTCAGCACCTCTCAGAAATCTTAAAGCAGGAAAAATACACGCAAAGGCATTCCCACCTTTCCGGATTTCCTCCTGCAAACTATCCTCTGCCCATTCCCAACCCTGCACTCCTCTGTGGTGACTCACAGGCAAATCCCGACTTGTTGGACCTTCTGTCCGGTGAACCCACCCTGCGGAGCCCACTGCAGTCCCCGGTGGGGGAAACTCCCGCGAGCGACTGCAGGTCTGCACTGTACTCACTCTCCAAAGAAAGCCTCGCTGGCCGGGTGCCCAGCTTTCCACTGGGGCAGCAGGCTCCAGTGCGCACCTCTTTAAGGCTATTAGAGAGGAAGCGGTTCGCTAGGGACCTTTATAAGAGCATCAGGACATACCTGGCAGGTCCCTTCAGAGGTGTGGACTTCAGCCAGACACCAGTAACACAACTTCGGCAGAATTTGGAGAGGAGGCTCTCAGAAACCCCCTGGATCTCCCTCCCCGCCACGCAGACCCCACTGTCCTCAGGCAGTCTCAGGGAGCAGGACTTGTCTTTCTCCTCCCGCACACGGCTGGTACCTGATGCTCAGGTTTGGGCTGAGAGGGCTCAGCCTGTGCGTAGCCATGCTGCAGCATCCTCACCAGGGTCTGAAGTTATCAGGCGGCACCAGAACAGCAACCGAGCAAGCGCTCGCCCTAATGGCTGCCTACCAGCTCTAAGAGGGCAGGCACCTGCCAGCTCAAAGCCACTTCCTGAGCAGAGTAGACCACACCAGCCAACACACTTAGCAACCCTTCAAGAAAATATATTAAAGGGTCAAATGGAGGACAGTATTATTGCATTACAAGACAAGGAAGGTGCTGCTTTTATATTCACTCTCTTCCACAAACCAAAGCATCACAAAAGAAAAAAATTTTAAAAAGCAGTCCTGCCCTCAGAGAACAGAATACAGCCATTAGCAAATGAAATACTGTGTTAAATTAATTCTATACACCCTTCATTTAGCCAAAAAGATGCTCCAAATCATTTAAGCCATTAGGCATCTTCCTGCAGGGGCCAAAATACCCCAGAAGCAGTTTCTCCAAAGGGATACAAGCGTTCTGCAGCGGGGGAAAAATGAACTTAATCTTCCTTTTAAGCGAAAGAACAGCTGGTGGATTCCAGAGTGAAAGGCACATACCTCAAGGGAACTGCTGAAGAGCTGCAATTCCTTCAACCAGGCAGGTCCTATGACTGGAGGTTTCGCGCACACAACCTCCAAGAGCAGCTATCCGAGAAGGTGTGGTTTTTGCTTCTCCCCACCAATGACAAAGGCAAATCAAACTCCACCAGGAAGTGAGAATCCCAGGAGGGTGCTGGGCTCCTCCAGTCCTGCAGAGGGGACCCAAACCGTTTTTCCACCCTCCACCCCCAGCCCTCACTGCAGGATGGGCAGATGTAACCATGCCGCCACAAAATTCTCCTCCTCAGCTCAGCACCCTGCTGAATGAACCGTCGGACAGAAATCCACTGCTGTTTCCGAACGGCACAGAAGTGAGTTCAGCTAGATTTACCAGTTTACTTTTACAAGTCTGCAGAAGAGGGGCCTGGAAATACCAGGAGCACTGTGCCCCCAGTCGTGAAGGAGTTAAGGAGAAGACATTACAGTTTAATGATTAACTTCCCCCATACCCTCCCCCTTCCTGACTTGAGCAAACAAGGCAGAGCTGAGGAACAGGAAGCGAGGGAGGAGAAAAGGCTGGAGAGGAATCACTGCGTTACTCAAACTGCACTGCAACTTTACAACCGATACCGAAGGCACCAGCCCACCAGCGGGATGGGAAAAGGAGAAGCCAGGAGCCCAGGAGCAGGACGGGCACTCACACACCGGTTTACGGGTGCCAAAGGACCTCTCCTCGTGCTTGCTCGCCCCCATGTTCTACAAACGCAGGGTTCACCCTTCCTCGCCCCAGTCGCTCCCTCCAAGCTCACAGCCACAACAAAGGGAAGGTCTTCTCCATTCGCGCCCATCCCCGATGCTGCTTCCCACCACACAAACTGTTCTCCGATCCAATCTCATCAGCACCCACAGTTCCCTGAAGTTTTGCTGGACTGGGGAGTTGCGCCCGTTCAAAGGGTCCAACAACAGCAGCAGAACTGCCCCGAGGAGGGCAGGGCGAGAGCGGTGGTGGCACGGTGCCCGCCCAGTCCACCCACCTTGCGGGGCTTCACCCTGCAGGAGGGAAGCGACTGCAACCCACAGGCACGGGCCGCAAATCGCTCCCTTGGAGGTCAACCGAAGGAGTTTTGCAGGCCAGAGACCGACTCAAGGCAAATTCAAAGCCCAACCAAAGGGATTAACATTTTGTTTTCCATGCAGCACCTCATCCCAAGAGGTCCCAAAGCACTGTGCATTCATTTAGGATTTGTGCCACTTTTTAACACTACCAGAAGACAACATGAAATCAGAGATGGGGAAAAGAAGGGAGATTTATTAATGGAAAAAAGATGCATCGCTCACTCTCTTTTGCAAAAAGGACCAGACTGCTGTAACGTGGTGAAGTGTAACAAAGACGCTGTGCCTTGTGCAGCGCTGCACCTCACCTTACAGGATTGAGTTCACTACAGTGACCGCTCCTTAAATAGGATATTAAATACTTAAATAGAAATATTAAAGGTTCGATCGATTTATTGGGTAACGAAGTGTTCCTTCCCAAGGCGACTCCTGAGGGACAGTGTGGCAGGAGGTGTAAATCAACCAGTTAGTCCCTCCCAACCCGTGAGAAGCAGTTGACTGGATCACGCTAACGACCAGTTCACACGAGCACCAGCCATCAGAGGGCACCACTACATCCCTACATGGACAGAAAGATGAAACCCGACAGCAATGGCTAACTTGGCAGTAACTTCACCTCACTTGCTCATTCATCCCCGCAGAGCCGGGAACCTGTCCCTATTTTAGGCACACGGAAACTTTCCACCGGTGCCACGTGTGCTGCACCTCCCCACGGAGACGTGCATCTTCACGCCAGCACAGGCTGCGGCACGTCGGGGGCTATCACCCAGCACTCTGGAAACAACCACACACGCTGACCTCACCACAGTTTTACTGCTGCCCCAAACACTCTCTGAAATACTACAGAAACAGCTCTAGGAGGCAGAATCTCCCAAGGTTAAAAGATCAGAGATCATTTATCTCTAGAGGACGGATTTAACCATTTTGTAGCAATAAAGCAAAACAGACAGGGTTGTACCAGATCTTCAAGCCATTGCTCCTCCACAGGATCACCCCTCCTTGCATTCTCACCCCTACAAGAAGCTACTAACACAACCCACAGACAAAACATCAGCTCACAGACACGTGGATGGAGTGGAATCAGAGAGTCCAGTTTCCAAAGACTCAGCAGGGCTCAGCCTACCCACAGGCATGGGCTGTGCATATAGAAATTTGTATTTTCCACTGTTAACAGCATGCTGCTCAGTGGGGTGTGGAAGAGTGAGGGATACTTGCTAAAACGTCACCAACCCAGACGCTCCCTGTCATCACTACGCTGGTGCAGTCACACAGCCGACAGAACCCTAACTCACCGTCCGCTGCAGCGCAGTGCATCTCAACGTGTGCCTGGGTTTAAACCCCACGGGCTCAGGTAACTTGGCCAAGCACCTGCTCAAGCTGCATGCAAACATGAGACAGAGGCACAGAAGGGCAGACTCCTCCTCCCTCCACAGGGCAACCCAAAAATTACATGCTCAAGTGAAATCACGTTCAGGCCAGAGGGCTACTCCAACCACATCCTCCCCAGTATGGGAGGACATTTGTGTTTGCATTCAAGTGTTTTTTCTATACAGATTTTCCTGTGGAGGAGGGACAGTTAAAGAATGATGTCACATTTGATACCTTTACTGCTGTACAGCATTCCAAGACATCTGGAGGCCCAGGTGCATTAGTTTGCCCCTCCACCCCTTCCCTCCCTTTTGCCAAAAATCATTATTAACTACAAGGTCCCCGGGATTCTGGTCTTTAAATCCCAACACACAGCTCTGCATATACATTAGATATCTATGAGTGGTCCTCAATACCAACTGCATTGCTTCAAGGTAGTTCCCAGCATCTGCCAAAGCTCTGCTAGTCATTTAGACAGCTTGGGACAAGAACTCTCAAACTGATGTCTAATGCATTGAACTGCTCAGAAAAAATCCCTTTTACCAAGAGAATCAGCAAGATGAAAGAGCAGGACAATAGCTTAGGGTAAGTCCCATTTACCAGTTCAAGCTGCACTGAAAAGAGTACTCATCTCCCAAGTTATATACTGCACATTCCTGCGATATCTCCCCGGCCCACACCTCTGTCAGGCCGAGGAACAGCTCGCGCATTCCAGGGGCTCCGACACAGGCTCCTTCGCCATCGCTGCGTGTCAGCACTCGCTGTCCTGCAAACGCAGTATCCTCCAGCAGAAACGGCCTCGTGTGCAGCCGCAGGGGCACATTCTTCAGCTTCCCACATCCCAGGTTTGTCTGATAAATAGCAGTAACGCCAGCCTAGGGATCACAACGCAGTTCTGAGGTACAGAACTGGAATGGATAACACGGGGGCCCCTTTGTACTGATGCATTTTCTATAAGTCTGAGCCGCGCTCAGCCCCCTTAAATAGATAGTTATTAAAAAGAAAAAAAAAAGATATTTACATGTATCCTGCCATGCATATCAAAACACACTCTCCTTTTCCTGTGCCTTCTGTGCATCTCAAAAATGCTCCTGGATTAAGCTGGCACAGTGAAGCAGAACACATCATGAACTAGTTCTGGAAAAACCTACGTTACAAGGCATCAACAAATTCACATTTGACATAAAGCAACTTTTTAATGCTAATTTTTCCTCAAGCAGTAGTTTTCCACTATTCATAAGCGGCCTAGGTTGTTTGTTCAGTTTTGTTTTTGTTTTAAAGTGAGGCCATTTAGAGAAATCTAAATTTGCTTTCCTCTGTTAAGGAGAAGCCTTCTACTGCTGAGTGTCCAGCATAACTCCAGCCTGCGCGAGGGCTGGAGAGACACAGCCTACTCAGTCAGCTCAAAGATGACAGCATTAGTGCCAGAAGAGAGAAAACTACTTCAGATCTCCATATGCAGTTCACCTCTCTCAACAACAGAGGATGAGCTATTAAGCCATGCTGACACAGCAAATCAGAGCATTATCAATATAGCAAGCAGATCAAAAGGATGGTGGTCAAGTTTTCTTCTACATCTCATCTACTGCTGGGGAGGAAATGGAAGCATAACTGGGGCAAGATACTTCAAATGCCTCAGATATCAGCCTCTCATTTTCAACAGCTGAAAGCCACATCTGCGCATCCATCAAACCGTACGTTGCCTGTAGCTCTGCTTCTTGCATGGGACATCTGGAAAGTGAGCGACACTGGAGACAGGATTCTTCATCCAGCCACCACACAGAGCAAACGCCTTCAGCGTTCAGCCGCAGCGTCCCATCTCCCCCCGCATCTCTGCTGCCACATGTCCCTGACAGCCCCGACACAGCACACTGGGCGATCAGGATGAGATGTCTGAACACAAACTACAGTATTTCCTCTGATGCAGCTGCAGAGAACAGGTGTCTGCACCTCCCCTGTACTTCCCCATGCCCCTGTTTACCCACATAACTAGAACTGCTATAGGTTTTCCTGGCTTAGGCAGCAGAAGATTCCCAGCGGACTGGCAAACGGAAATAAAAAGCAAGATAGCCGTAAGGGCAGGTCTAAGTGAGGACATGGTCTTTACATGATAATCATGCCTCACCCGGCGTAAGACAAATCACAGACCCCTCATTTGCAGAATGACACACCATTCTCCAGCCCTTTTTTCTTAATACCTGTAAGATGCTGAATTCAAATCCTTGATTTTTGCTGTCCCCTAAAAGAACGAGGGGAATTGCATCTCCAGAACCGAACCCTGAGCTTGCAGAGTCACCTGAGCAGCCTCTTTGCAAAATCCCTGAATCCAAACTTTTAAAATCTCATTAGGTTCAAGTAAGTCTTCTCTCCCCCACCTCCAGGAGTAAATGCAACTCCAGCTCACACATAGGGAGACAGCTCGGGGCGGTAACCCAATCCCTGGCAAGACAGTTTTACATTGTGAGTAACTGCAGAGGAATGGGGAGCTTGGGTATATTTATCCTATTAAATAGCCTTTCAAAAGAAACTTTTTGCAATGCTCTAGAAGAGCTGCATCAAAAAGACTTGTTGGAGCCTTGCTATAGGGCTTCTCACTGCCCTCGAGTCTGAGTCTGGAAGGGGTGGGCAGCCCCAAAGAGCAACACTGATGACAGCAATTCCCTTTTTAACAGCAGTTTTGACTTTTCTCAGCAAAATGGAAAAAAAAAAAAAACCATGAACAAACAGGTGAACGCAGGCTTTTACGCAGGTAAAAGACATGTAATAACAGGTTCTTAAGGCATTATATCCTAATCAATGTTTTTAAATGCAAAAAGATCAGAGACTATAAAAGCAATGAAATACAAAGACTACATTCAAAACGAGACCTTAAAAATTTGAAGTGCAATTAGATGCTCTTAAAACCCCGAAGTTCTCTGGCTCACATATATAGACAGCATGTAAAATAGCTTGGCTTACTTTCTAAAACACTTTGAGGAGGAGACATTTGAAAGTTTTCTAAAATTTAACCAATATGTTGAGAAGGTGGTTAGAACACGGGATACATAACAGCTCTCGGCTCTCTTGTGAAGCAGGGACAGATTGTTATTTAAGATACCAAAAAATTCAAGGCACAAAAGATAAGTCATTTGCCAGACCTAACAACTGCTGGAGTACCAGTACAGAGCAGCCACTGGTATTTTTACTTTACATTGTCTAGTCCCGCCTAGAGGAAGTTCAGATGACATGGTCAAAAAATCACTCAGCTATTTCTTTAATGTATTCTAGTGACTGATGTTTATTCGAAGCCTTGCGCTTTCTCATTATCAAGGTATTGGTGCAAGTCATGCTTTGTGCCACTGCTTAATAAAAAGAATGTCCAGACTAGTATCAGCATGTGGTATGGTGAACTCCGATAGAAGACAATATCCATGAAATCCTTGAAGGTTCTCTGTTCTCTGAAACCAACACTGCCCCTTAGAATAAGCAAGACTATGCATTTGTGGCACTGATTTGCAAAGTTGTGTGGGTGATTCAGAAAAGCTTAACAGCAAAGGCAACCATCTGGTAGTTGTTATGCCTAGCTACACCAGGCTGCAGAGACACACTAAGTAAGAATTCATCCCGTGACAGACAGAACTGCTTTCAAAATCACGTGATGGCAGCCACCGTGAATCCTATCTATGCCACAACTCGAATACAGACAGCCAAACCAGTTAGCTTTCCCCAGTACAGCAGCCCATGCACCCAGCTCTGACCACTATCAGCAAATGTCTAAACAAAGACAAGACACTGCACTGTGAGATGTGGTCTACATGATCAGCTGCGGCAATGACTGTGGCTTCCTGTCCCAACCACCGAGACCCAAGCTGGAGACTTCATTCCAGAGCTTGTGGCCAACTAACTGGTCACAACTAACATGCACTACTGCCACCCCAAGCACGGGGTTGAAAAAGAGTGTGCAAATACAGCCTGTTTACAGCAATTTCAGTAACTGTTTACCAGGAACTACTCACAGCACATTTGGGGATGAAATGCAAACCCTGGAGTGCTCTGGCTGTAGTTCAGCAGAGCTGACACCACCACACGCTGCCAGTGTAAGGGAAGGGCCCAGCGATCCCCCCTTCCCCCAGCACACAAACCCACGCTGTTCCTGGAACTCGCCCTGCTGATCACCAGACGCTTTCTAACTAATTCAACTTACTAATCCAGTAAAAGTTTGCTGGGTTGTTGACTTGGTTTTTTAGATGAACTCGATACATTTTTTGGAAGCATAGCTCCAGCCACTCTATGACCTAAGCAGCTTTTAGAAAATGTTTTAAAGGGACCAATGCCAGAATTTAGCCCTTGTCTAAGTAAGTGAATAAAACTTCTGCTTTAAGTAGGAAATACTATCATTTCACCTCCAAAACTCAGGCCAGGACACAAACTGTAAAATCCAGGCCCATCCTGCCATTAGTTGAAAGAAATCACGCATCCTCCGGTCTGATTCCCATAATGAATCTGCATCTCAGGTGCAGACCAGAAAAACTGCAGCAACCAGCAGACAGCACAAACTGAAATGCTCATAAATTCTGGAGACATCCCTCACCACTACCAGCCACTTCCACCTGAGCTTACACTGACACTGTATTTTGCAGCCCCAGAATCGTGATACGGCTCAATCAGTAGGGCTGCATCCATTATGTACCTACTGGTGCTATCTCATTTGTGCCACTGAGCTTCAGCTAGCTTTTGGCAAAGACTACTCCTGACCATAAAACTTTGAAGATGAGCCAACTTTGTATGCTACAAAACCCCACCAGAAGCCATCATGTGAGCTCAGACCTTCCACCAGATCCTTCTGAGGGGCAAGAGGGCTATTGGTACGTGTGCTGGAAAACCATAAAGGTCACTGCAGGATCCTTCCTGGAACTGGCCACGCTGCTTCCTTTCACATTAACACAAGCATTTCACTGCAACTCAGACCCGCCCTGTAACCTCAGCAACGGTGTATCTGCCAGCACGGCGAGGGTGCTGGAGTGCCAGCATCACGAGGGGTCACTAGTTCCCGGTAACCCAGCAGCAAGGCTTTCAAGGGCACAGAGACACTCTCTGCAGAAAACCAGCTGACCGGTTTGCAGCTTGACACCAGCAGTCCCTGGGAATCACAGCCCCGTTCCTTGAGTGAGCATCTCAGACACACCTCTTGTCATCTTTGATGCAACAGGCTGGGAAATCCTTCGACGGCTGGCTCCATTCACATCACCGAGTTTGGCAGGAAGGTAACCTAATCTTAACCAGACCCACAGGGCATGGGATCATCAACGCAGCATGCAGGCTGAGAGACACTGCAACCGCCTCGAAGATCTGAGTCAGCACAGTTTCCTGGATGAAACAACACAAATCCACAGCACTCTCTGGCCTATAGTCCAAGCTGTGCGAAGGAACCACAATAGATTTTCCTGCAGGACCAGATTTTTTCCACTTAGCTCTTGAACACTAAATTAGACCCCAGCTCAAACTGCCTGAGAAAATGAACCACCACCTCCAAAAGAGAAACTCATAGTCATTCTGCCTTCCTCCAACTTCCTCAGAAAAACTTTCATCCCCTTTCCGCTACCTCAGAACAGTTCATTAGATGGCTGAGATAACGCAATTCAAGTCTCACAAGGCACATAAAACTGCTTACATGATCAGAGAGAAATATTCCTCAAGATGTTATAGGTATGCTGAGCATCCTCACACTGGAAGTGCTTTGCGATTTAAGTACCATCTCCTTTCAGAAGGGATGTACCTGACGCTCCAGAAAAAAACAGTAAGGTTACCAAACCAATTTCCAAAGAAAATATGGTTTGAATATGGTTTTTTTTTGTTTTCAGCCAAAAAGCTGCTAAACCAAGTGTAGCCTTTTCAA